GTAAACCTGATTTCTTAGAAAGAGTATTTTTTCTTCCTTCATCATCACGTGATTTTACTTTCTTTTCAGTAACTTTCTTTGGTTTCTTTTCTACTGATTTTTTTTCAGTAGCTTTCTTTTCAACGACGGGAGTAACTTCTTTTTCTTTGGTAGCGTCCATTGTATTTAAAATACAGTTTTGATCACTTAAGATCTTATTGTCATCTTAAATATCCCCAATTAGGTTTTCCTATTTTTCTCTTTTTACAGAAAATCATTAAAAAGAATCTTCATTCTTTTTCTTGTCTATATCATGTTTTAATTATATTCTGAAATTATATTATCTTCATAAATTTATTCATTCTTACTTTTTCAGTATATAGATGTACTTATTTATCGTGACATTTTCATCATGTATTATTCATTTATTATTATTTTTACAAGAATAACGAAGACAACTTGAATTTTTGTTCACTTCTTTTTCTTTTTTTTTCTCTTTTCTGGAAACCCTTTTTTTTTGTTAATATAATAAATAATATTAATATAAAACTATAGTACTGGTTCTATAAATAGACTTCTCTTTTTAGTTAAAAAATTAAAGATGAAAAAAAAATAGAAACAAAAACTAAAATAAAGAAAAAAATAAAGGAGTGGAATGGATAAAGAATTACTCAATGAAGTATTAGCCGAAGTAATGGAAGATCCTAATTTAATGGACAAAGATCCACTTGCAAATAAAAATAAAGATTTTATATGTTCAGCACAAGATGCAATAGGATTATATTTTGTGTCTAATAAAGAAGAAGTAGAAAAAGCACTTAAAGATAAATATTTAGAGAATGCAGTTGATTATCCTGATTATGTTCACCAATTATTTATGGGAGATTGTGAAATATATGGGTATAAAGATTTAAAGGTTCATGTATTGATTAGTGTCTATTCACATCAAATGTATGTTGACTTTTCATATTCACAAAAAATAGATGATGCAGAAGATATAATTAAATGTCTTCATAAATTTATGCCAAAAAATCAAAGAATTTTATCATTAGAAGGTTTTATTGAACAATTAGAAAAAGAAAAATATGGATTTAAACCTTGTGGAAAGAAATTATATGAATTTGAACAAAATGGAGAGGTTTATGAAATTTATTATGGAGATGTTAATACTATGTATGAATATTATTGTCAATTATTTCCTGTTATTACAATGTATATTGAACGAGCCAATTGTGTTAATCCAGAGGGAAAATGGGAATTTTTTAATTTGTTTCAAGTTATTGAAAATCCATCAAATGTTAGTCAAATTGAATATAGGATAGCTGCACAAACAAATACATATAGGTTTTATCATTATCCAGATTCATGGAGATTACGTATTGGACAATTTATAACATTTCCTAATTATCAAAGAAAAAAGTTAGGAAGATATTTATTAAGACAAGTATATTCATTCATTTTATCAGATAAAGATTTTGATTTAACTGTTGAAGATGCATGTTTAGAATTTCAAAAATTAAGAACATTTGTAGAACTTAAAATGATGGAAGAACAACAATTAAAATTACCAATTGATATTCAATCAGATACGTTAAGTGAATGTCCAGAAGATTTTTGTGAGATAGTTAGAAAAAAATGTGGAATAACAAAAATGGAAATAATGTCATTATATGAAATGATGGTATGGGCAGAATTAAAAAATAATAATGAAATAATGCCTAAGTTAGCATTAGAATTAAAAAGAAAATATTACTCACAAACGAAAACAGAACTTGAATTATTAGAAAGTGATGAAATGAGATTAGAAATGATTGAAAGAGCATATAAAGCAAAAATTGCTCATTTTAAACAAATTTATAATGTTTTAGAATAAATTAAATACTTTTAATAAAAGAATTATAATTTATTTTAATAAAATAAAAACAAAAGATAAATAAGATATATATAACCATAATTAATTTTGTTTTAAAAATATACTTTATTTCTATTACAGAATGAAATAGAAATTAATAAAATTCAAATAAATATCTAAGGAAATTTAATGAATTGAGATAAATTCAAATAATAAAAACAAAGTAAAAAAAAAAAGAAAGAAAAGGGAAAGAAGTATTTATATAAAATTGAATTGAATCTAACTTTAAAATAAATAGAACACAAAAAAAATAAATCTATTCTAAAGAAATAGAAAATATGTTTTGGATATTCTTACTTTATATTATTTCTTGTTTTGGAGCTCAAAATAATGAAAAAGAAGTATTAATTAATTTTTATAATCAATTAAATGGACCTAATTGGAAAATATCAACTAATTGGTTAAGTAATGAAAAAGATATTTGTGAATGGTATGGAATTGAATGTGATAAAGATGGATATGTTTTTCAAATATCTTTAGACTCTAATAATTTAGAAGGTAAATTACCAAGTTTAAGTTCTTTAACTCATTTATATGCATTTGTTGCTGATAATAATAAATTAACAGGTTCTTTAAGTGCTTTTAATGGATTAAAAGGATTTATGGCATTAAATATTAAGAATAATTTATTTAGTGGACCAATTTATATGATAGGAACAACAATGAAATGGTTACATGCTGATAATAATAAATTTACTGATATATTTTCTTTAGTAAAACATTGTCCTGAAATTGAAGTTATTGGATTAACTCATAATAAAGTTAAAACAATTCCTCGTTCTATTGGAACTTTACATCATTTAAGAACGTTATCTTTAGGACAAAATGATATTACTTCTGAAATTCCAAATGACTTAAATGGTTTAATTAATGTTGCTACTATTGATTTAAGTAATAATAAAATTTCTGGTTCTATTCCAATTACTTTAGGTCAATTACCTGTTATTACTGAAATTTTATTACAAAATAATAATTTATCTGGCTCTATTCCTAATACTTTATTTACTGCTTCTTCATTAACTTTGATTGATCTTTCTAATAATTCTCTTTCTGGTTCATTAAATGATGTATTAAATTCTAAAACATTAGTAACTGCATATTTACAATATACTGATGTTGAAGGACCAATTCCTCCTTTATATTCAAGTAGTTTAAGACATCTTGACCTTCGAGGAACTAAGGTTGATTGTCCAATTTTAGATGCTAATAGAGAAATTATAGTTGCTGATTGTCCTCCAAGAGTTATTGTTGAAGCTGATGTAATGTCTAAATGTCCTGATTTTAGAAATTTTGGATATAAAATTGCTGCACCACTTCTTGAGAAGATTGGTTCTATTATTGATTTTAAAATTGGATGGATAATGACTCCAAGCTCTTCTTATTCTACTGGATATAGCTCAATGCATGGTAATACCGAAGTAATTGGTGATTTCTTATTTACATGTGCACTTGAAATATATAATGCATCAAAAGCATTTGACTTTTATAATTGTATGGGTGAAAGTGTTGATTTAATTCCTTTAAATTATACTTCTTGTGCACGACAAGCAAATATGGATCCTGAGTCTTTAATTAAATGTGCATTTGGTTCTTATGGAAATACTTTAATGAAAGAAGCAGTTGATAGACCAATTCAAATGGGATCAACATGGTGTCCAACTGTTTATATTAATAATGAACGTTATTGTCTTTATGATTCATATCTATGTAATGCAACTACATTAGATGATTATATAAGAGATATTTGTGCTGCATATACTGGAACAAATAAACCTTCTGCTTGTCCCAAATAACATTAAGTAATACATTTTTTAATATTTTAGTTATTAAAAATGGAAAATCTTTATCTATGTCAAACAAATTGAAACAGTACTTAAATTTTCATTTTTTAAAATGCATTTAATTAAAAAGCCAACTACAACTCAAATCCCTATGTATTGTGCTTTTTCGTTCCTTGTTATTGCTGGTGGTAAAACTGTATTACTTACTAATGAAATAACACAAGGAACAATTTGGGAAATTCCATTAACAGTATATATGTTATTTAATTGGCTTTGGTTATTAGGAACTCTTATCTATTTAAATTGTGTTGATCCTGGATATATGCCAAGATTTAAACCATTTGGATTTCCAGTAAAACAGTTTTATAATGTAAGATATCAAAATAAAATACTACCAAGAAATACTTGTGAAACATGTAATTTAGTAAGACCATTAAGAGGAAGTCATTGTAGAATATGTAATAGATGTGTTAATGAATTTGACCATCATTGTGGATGGATTGGAAATTGTGTTGGAGAAAGAAATAAAGGAAGATTTGTTGTATTTGTTTGTGTAGTATTTATAAATTCTGTTACTGCTTGGTTAATTAGTTTCTATCACATTTTATTTATGCCAGGTGGTTCTATAATAAATCTTCTGTTCATTATTACTATCTTCTTTATGTTTTCAATTACTAATTTAATGTTAGGGTCATTATTCATCTCTCATATATATCTTGCTCTCAATGGTAAAACTACTTATGAAAATATCAAGCTCACAAAACAAAAATATCGTGCTTATGAACAATTCTTAGAAGAAAATGGTGTATCTCATAAATGTTATTGTAAAAAATGTGATAAGAAAAAATCTTCTCAAAATGATAAAGATGAAGAACAAATTAATGAATCAAGTGAAATTAAAAGACAAGAAAACAATAACATTTTTACTCAAATAGAAAGAAAAAGGAAAGAAATTGTTTTAAGAAAACAATTTTCTTTGAACTATAAAAATGAAACATCTCCATATCCAAGAGGTTTTACTAATTTTTTTCATATTATATTTAAACCATCTCCACCATCATTTATTTAAATAAATAATTATTAAATACTTCTTTTTAATTTTAATTCATTGAAAATTTCAAAATAAAATATTAAAAAGTATTTTTATTTAAATATTAAAATATAATAATTAAATAATAAATAATAATAATAAAGTAT